CCCCAAAACCCCAAAACCCCAAAACCCCGCAAATTAAAATTCACTCAAATAGATGATAGCAATAAATTAATTGAACAATAGCATAAATATTTAGTGTCATTTAATGGACAAAATCATCTTATCCTTACTCTTTATTGCAAGCAGTTCAACTTTAGGTTGAACCTTATATGATTACAAAGAATCAGGTATAAGAAATCATTATCGCATAGGATTTGGTAGTTGCTTTGATAAGAAATAAAAGGTTACTGACGTTTTTAAGTACATCCTTAATGAAAATTTAGATCTATGGATGTGGACTGGCGATTTTGCCTACGTTGATAGACACGTTGGAGGTAATTCTCTTCATTATAATTTAATGAATATCATAGTTATAAGATAATACTTGCCTTTCGTAAACTTAACAGAAGAAGATGATGTAAGAGAAATCAAATTTAAGACAACTTATAATGACGAGTGTAAGATAATAATAATTTTATAGTCAAAGATTATTCATAGCTCAGAGTAAAAGTACCTGTTATTGGGATATGGGATGATCATGATTATGGCATGAATGATGGAAATAGTGGAAATCCTATTAAGATTTAGCAAAAGCAGCTATTTTTGGATATGATAGACGAGCCAAAAGACTCTTAAAGAAGACATAGAGGAAATGATCATGGCATATATGATGACTATCAACTCTATTTAAGGAAAGACTTTTCAATGAGAATCATCCTACTTGATACAAGATATAGCAAGACTGGAACTGATTTGCTTGGCTAGACTTAATGGGACTGGCTTGAATCTATCTTGAACAGTACAAACGACCAGGTCTATATCATTGTGTCCTCTATCTAGGTTCTGCTAGATGAGAGAATTAAAAATGCTGAGTGTTGGAGTATCAATGACAGGATTAGATTGACTAATTTAATTAGTAAGCATAAGAAAAGCGGAGTGTTTCTCATTAGTGGTGATGTCCATCACAGTCAGATACTTGGATCTTAATGCCGACTTAATAATCTAGGGTATGAATTGCTAGAGGTAACCTCTAGTGGCATGAGTCATACTTGCGATAGAAATCTAGCTGAAATATGCAATTATATACTGCAGGGAAATACACCGACAACCGTTTTGAAGTCTGAAGTGGTGGTATAACTCAACTATGGAATATTAGATATAGAGCTTAATGATGACCCAGTTTAAAGCGTGATAAAACTTAAAATTAGAGGTAGAGAGAATGTGACATTTATTGAAAAGGATATTCATTTGAGTAACCTATAGTATTAAGCGAACTTTAAGTCTTTAAATTGCGAGTCTATGATTTACAGGCGAACATTAAATAAATTTATTCACTTAATCAAGGCCTTAGTCCAGCATAAGCATCTCCTGATTGGTGGACTATTTTTTGTGCTTATAGTGTTTGCTACTACAGCTATATCAGTTTTCATTAGAGTATTTAGGCAGATTTTGAACTTCGCAAATAGAAATAAAAGGACAGGTTAAAAATTAGATTGAACTTGAATAAAATTGAGCAGTTAAGCTTTTTAATATTTTGCAATTAAAAGTATAGCACTTCAGTGATTATTATACTTAAAGTTAATTTACTAAAATATTAATGAAAAATAATTCGTCGTTAATGTCACATAAGAAGCGAAACTCACTAGACAACCACCAGCTTAAACAGCCACAAATGGTTAATTTCTAGATCGCCCCTCAGACTTACAATTCTGGCTAGAACAGTTCCAAGCAGAGGCAAGTATCATACTCGCCCTATCACGGATAAACAAAGGTTCAAGCCACAATGATCACAAATAAAGCACAACCCGCTGCTGGAGCAAAGACTCAATACGCTCCTAATCAATAGTATTCATCGTAATAACAGCAGTAAATGATGATGATAATGCAGTAAATTAAGACTTAGCAGGCCACTTAAAATTAGACTCCTAACTAGGTGCCCAGTAGCAGAGACACTCCTGGAGGAGCTTCTCTCGATAGACAAATTATGGATCTTATAAGTTCAAAGCAAGGTTTCAATGATGCGAATGGTATGAATTTGAAAAAATCCATTAATGGCAGTATTCAAACCCCTCAGCCGATGCTCTCAGTTTTTAAATAAAAAAAGAAGTAACCATTTACCCCCATTTATTTAATTCTATTTTAGAAGTTAGTAGATTAATTCTGGTCCTTAGGGGTAAATGTTCGCCACAAATAAAGAGAATTAGTTACTTATGATGAATAATGTCTTCAATTAAAAGAGAAATTCTATGAATGAAGCTGAGAGAAGAAGGCAGCAGCTTAAAAAAGCGCAGTAAATAAACACAGACAATCAAAGACCGATCAGGAGTGCTAACACCTCTCCTTAGACTTCCCATTAGTTTTTATCCAATGCTCTAGCCAGTGGAAATCCCTCCTCGTATCTTTAGCAAAGCTAAGTATAGCAAGATAAGTTGACAAACAGTCAGATGAATCCTAATTCTGGCAGTAGACCTGGAACTAGTGGCGGTTTAATAGGATAGATCTCTAAAACATAGAAGAATTCACCAAATCAAAGCAAAATAATCAACAGGCCAAAGACATCTAACAAGATCGAAAATAACTACCTATATAATCAATCTTAAGCAACGACAGCATCAACTAATAATAGAAGTGGATAAACGAAATCTCTTGGTGAAGATAGTGTATAAAGAATGCTTAAGAAAAATAAGTCTAAGCCTTCAAGTAGACCCTCATCTGGAAATAAAAAGAGACAGATCAACAGTGCTTAAGGTAACTATGATGGCACTGATCCAAATTAGCAACATTTAATGATGATGATGCTTTTACAGCAATAGCAATCTAAAGTCACTAAAATTTCTGAATCACATAGACAAACAGCACCCCAAAAGATCAATAATTTTGTTGATGCTTAGGGCAATCAATTACAATCACCTCAGAATAATATTGAGTCGTCCAGTAGTGGCTAGCCTGGATTGAAGGTCAATCAATCTTCTGATCTATCTCAATAAAACAAGATTCAACTTCAGTAGAAATTTTAATCTGCTCCCTCCACTCCCACTAAGGTTATTAATACCAAGAGAATGTCAATGGATAATGATATGACTTCTTCAAGTGGACCAAAACTCATTGAGAGAAATGTGATCACTAAATACGCATTTGCCACAAGAGTTGGGTTCATTCCTAATAATCCGGGAAAAGTAAATTAGGACTCCTTTATTTTGAGTCCAAATCTAAATGGTTGCAACTTCAGACACTACTTTGGTGTATGTGATGGCCATGGATAGAATGGAAAAGAGGCTTCACACTTCATCAAACTCAGACTACCTTAATTGGTTGGGAAATACGTATAAGAGTCTCTTCAAAATTAGGAAAGGCAATCTCCTTCTGATGAGGAATACAAATCGCTGTTCCACAAGTCTTTCATCTAATGCAATGAGGAACTTGACTATACTAACTTCGATGTAAATCTAAGTGGGTCAACTGTTTGCACAGTCATATTCAATGGAACTAAAGTCTATTGTGCCAATGCTGGCGATTCTAGAGCTATTAAGGTGGCAATATTGCCAGCTGAGCCTGGAAGTTTGACAAGAAAGAGTAAGTTCAATTTTTTATTAATATGATATTGTAGAACCCTAAATCGAGGCTACAGCTTTAAACATTGATCACAAGCCTGAACTTAAGGAGGAAGCTGAAAGAATCATCAAAAGAGGTGGGAGAATCGATTCATTCCGCGACTACTATAATAATGGAGAGCCTATTGGTCCACAGAGAGTATGGCTACAAAGTGAAGATATTCCAGGTCTAGCCATGTCAAGATCTATGGGAGATAGAGTTGCTCATAGTGTTGGAGTTACAGCTGAGCCTGAGACTAAAGAGTTTACTCTCTCTTTAAACGACAAATTCATAGTCATAGCAAGTGATGGAGTCTGGGAATTCCTCTCAAATGAGGATGTGGCCTAGATTGTACTTCCATTTTATGAATAAAATGCACCTGAGGCAGCTGCAAATGCCCTTGTTAAGGCAGCTTTCAAAAAATGGAAATAGGTAAGTTATCATAGCTGGATTAACTAATACATTTATAGGAAGAGGAAGTAATAGATGATATCACTTGTGTAATTATATTCCTGGAAGTGTCGATGGCTTATAATCAGCAAAAACTTTAGCCTAAAGCTAATTGAATAACTCTCATAATCTAACTGCCTTCTTGTATTTTTGTTTAACTTATATATTAAGAAGCTTCGAATTTGAAATCGATTGATATCTGTCGGGGTTTTGGGGTTTTGGGGTTTTGGGG